GGTCTGACTTGTTTCCATTTTCTCCTGGGCTGCCCTCTTCTGATTCCCCAGAGCACAGCAGTTGGGGGTCTCCCCCATCCACAATTAATACATTGACAATCTGAATGTTTGCCCAAGGACTCAGGGCTTTTAGCTCCCCCATTGGTAGCAAGGTATTGTAACCTTAAAAGGGTATTTATACTGAGCTTGTGAACGGCGGCGAGTGGAGGACTTCATAAACTTATGCAGTTGATGGTAACTTTTAAAAACAGTCTTCTGAACTGCTCGAAAGTGTTTGAAAGTGTTACTGGAAGCTAGTAACAAGTTCAGTATTTTACAGAAACCAGCCACTTTCTTAATTCCTTCCAGCTGGGGTTGAGGCACAAGCCAGTTTTACAACTCTAGAATTTTTTTTTTTTTTATGTAGAGAAAGAATGATCCAGGCTGGCTGTAATCACTGTGATAAAACGAATAAGTCTTTTCCTACTTTTGTTTCTTCAGTTCCTCCACTTTCATGTGGTCCCTCCCTGTCATTCCTACTTCAAATGGAGAAAATGCTAATGTAGACATAATTTTTTTTTCCTTCTCCCAATCCAATGCCACCTGCAAACCTGCAAGCCAAGTTTCAGTCCTGACCCTCTTTGCCCGCCACCATCCCTGCTATAGTTACTGCCCTTCATCTAAGGAGCTTCCCTTTACAGCAGACAGAGCTACCACCGAAAAGCACAACTGGATACAATGTAGAGATTAATGGATGTTAGGGAGCCCAGCACCAGTGAATACATCTGTGTCATTACTTCTGCTTCTATGGCTAAAGGAATATCACAGAAGAGGGGCTGAAAGATTGTAAGAGCCATGATACCAGGAAGTCTGCTGTGAAATAGCAGATGGTTGCATAAACAAGACCGGAACACTTGGGAAATATCAATAGATGTGTTAACATGATAGTGTGAAAATTTCATGGGGTCTCACCCCTAGGCAAAGAACCACAGGAAACTAGTAGTTGTTGGGAGAGGGAGAATTAGTCATTACTGGTTATCCATACCAAATGGTCAGCCCTGAAACCAAATCCACACAAACAACAAAAGCAGTGTCATTGGGTTGTGTTCATAACTTATGCATACATATACATATACCGTATGTCACAATAGTAATTAAAGAAAATGAGGCTACCGATCTGAGACTAGTAACGTGTGGGAAGGGTTGGAGGGAAGGGGCTGGAGAGGGGAAAGGAAGGGGGAAAGTGATGTAATTCTGTTGAATTGAAGTGTATTAAAATTGAACTTCAAAAGAAAAAGATTTGGAGAAAAAAATTCATATCAGTTATCAAGGCTTCAAAGTAACATATATGTATATATGTGTAAACATCTCTCTATATATTCTTTTCTCTAAGACCAGACAGACTTGATATTCATGATAGTTCTCTTTAAAAAACAAAGTGTGTTAGCTCCAGGTGCTCAGTTACTACTGATCAAAGAACATTAAAAAATGCTTGATGAGAATTTTGTAATTCCAGCACGCTGGTGAGTAAACATTCAGTGAAAGGCAAAATGGAGAGCCCCGGTTTGAAGGAGTGAGTTTCTCTTGCTGCAATTCGAATGTTTGCTTTAAAAGCACTTAAGAAGCTCCTGCTGAATCTCTTGCTCTCTCTTTTTGGGCTCCTCCTACAGGAAGGTTGATGTTACCCGAAGAGTTTAAATAAAACGTGTGGTACAAGTCCACACAGGCTGAATGCCTCTGAGTTCTTTCTGCTCTGTGGTGGCGAGTGGGTGGAATGCATACACAGGTTTTTTTGTTTTGTTTTGTTTTTAACGCGAGGAATTCTAACTACTCCGAATATCTGGGTGTAAGAATCAGGTAGTCACATACCTCCTCATTCTGGAACTTTTCCTTCTCACCACTCCTTCTCAACATCCTCCTTCTCATGTGAAAGCTCTTGAATGCTTGTCAAAAATAGAAAGCTGAACAGAGACTGTTTTCCCTCCCGGCTTTCTATGTTTTCTTACAGCTACAGTGTAGTTCTATAAATGTGATGAAAACCAATTACATTATTTTTCTTATGATAACATGTTTACCTGGAGGCTGTGAGGAGAGATACTGATGATGAAATATGAAGGCCTTGGTTCTGTATTGAATTCATATCATTTCATTATTACAGTAATGTCTTTACTATAAAATCAGTGTCTTAAGTGAAGTCGCACGCAAGTGATTTATTTGTGAAGGACACAAAACTAATTATAAGGAAAATTTGAGATATGAGCCCCATGCCCAATTTGCTACAGGCAGAAGGCCTGTATTGATGTCTTTGTTACATTAAAAGAGAAAATCTTTTAAGAAGGGCTCAGTAATTTGTTCCCTTTTGAATTAAAAATAAATAAAGTTCTGGTGAAAGGACATTGGGTCTCTAAGGATCAAGTCATGTTTTTAATTTTAAAATGCAACTTTATGTTCTTTTATGTAACCATTTTTCCAAAAAAGATTTCTAGTACTTTCCTTTCCTCTCTCTTTTTATTCAGACTGCTGTTAGTCCTAGACTCATGAACTTGTTCACTGACAAATCTACAAGGCCTCTGCATACCTTCCCTCGGGGTAGTCAGTGCCGAATGTGGCTAGGGCACTCTACGGCACATCATCTGTACAGGCCAACAGCTAACCTGGTTCCTGGTATCTCACTTTGTCCATTAGCAAATAGAGGATATATAGAACCCGTCCCCCAGAAGAGCGTGAGACGCCCGGAAACCATGATACGGATAAGGCTGTACTTACTGTTTATTCCTGCAGCAGTTCAGGGGCAGCATGATTGCTGTGTAATTTTTGCTTGCTTGCCACTCAAAGGACCTTCTACTCTTCCTCCCAAGCTGGTCCTTTTCATGTGTTCCATGCATGAACTTCATCAGACAGAAAAAAAAAAGGAATCAGCTTTAATTTCTTGTCTTTCATGCTCAATTTATTATTAACTGTAGATTTAAATAACAGTCCTGGGACCTCTCTCATTTTTCTATTTATAGGCACATTCTCTCTTACTTTGACTACATGGAGAGACTTCGAGAGGACCTTTTCCTTGAACCCCATCTTGCATCTTTTCTTCTTACCACAGTCATAGAGGCTTGAAAGAAATTTCACCACACCACCTCAGGTTTTGTAGTTTCTTAGATACTTACTAAATGCATTTATGATAGTCGTCCTGCCTAACCACCTCATACACCATTTTTTACTTTGACCTCTGACCTCTAGTTACAAGCTGCTTCTTCCTTTTCCTCTCTCCTCTTCCTTCTTTTTCTGTTTGTAGGTTTCATGTTTCTGACTGCAGGATCTTCCTACTTGTGTTTCCCTCAGCCAGAATATTCTTTCTTTTCATCCCATGGTTGATCATTATTAATTAATCAATGCCTAGCTTAAATGTTATTTCTTTGGCCACGTAAGTTGAATCCATTTGTTGTATATTCAAATTAGTTCATGTTTTCTCTTCATAATATTCATTTAAACTGCAACCACATCACTATGGAGCTCTCTTTTACTCTAGCATGCAAGCTCCGTGAAGGCTGTGCTGTAGCTCCTGCTCACCTTCCACCAGCAGATTGCCTTGAACATATTTGACATTCATTAAATGTTTACTGTCTGACTTTACCCACTTGGAGACTTAGAAATAGTTGCATATATAGGAAGTCCTGTATTTTAAAAATACCCACACCATGTGTAAGGCATGCAGCTCAGTGATAAAGTACATAAATGAGGTAATGTATTTATTCCAACACTCCTCTCTCATGCCTCTCTCTTTTGAAGCCTTTGCTAAGAGTGAATATAGTTTCTAAATACTATGTTCTGACATCAAACACTCATGCTAACTCTTTTGACTTACTTCTGAACACTCAAATTTGATTGGATTTCATAGCTTGAATTTTAAATTCAATTCTATTGGAGACAGTCTGGTATTTTCCTGACCATTGTCTTATCCTACCTACCAGAGTTGTGCTACAAAGCTGAGAATTCTGAATATTCATTTTTATTTTAATCTGGAAATGATTTCAATGCTATTAGGTTGTGAAGCCTAAGCTAGGTGCTATGAGGGAAATGGAGAGGCATTAGGCAAAGAACCAACTCTGAAAGCAGCTTTCAAATAACAAAGGGGCAAGAGGCGTATCTGAATATCGTGATTAGTTGTTTTCGCTGTTGAATTTTTACCAAATCTTAACAGAAACTACTTAAGGAAGGAACTACTTATTTTGAATCACAATTTCAATCCATCTTAGTGGAGAGACTGTGGCAGAACAGCTCAGTTCACACATCCTGTAGGGACAGGAAGCAGACAAAACAAGAAGCAGTTGAGGATGGTATGTGCCAAGGATCTGCCCCCAGTGACACACTTCCCTTGGCCATTCTTCCTACACTTGTAGGACCTCCACAAATAGTATTCACACTGTAAGCATACAGTAGATCTTACACATTCAAACCATAATAATATCCAAGTGCAATAGATTCACTGTGTGGATAGAATCTACTAAGAAATAGTTCAACTCCATCTCTTGTCCCCCATCCAAGAATAGGACTTAGAAAAATCATTAAGCTACAAGATTGTTTATGTTTCACATCTTGCCTTTCATTACAATCATCCAGGGAGCTCAATGATAGTTGAGTTCTGCCTCAGTTTGAGGTGCCACTAGGGCATACTGTGTCTGGTATCAAGCATGTACGTATTTGGGGAATGACCCAACTCAGCTAGTTAGGAGAGAGTGTCATGCCTCATCATCCTTTCAGAAAGGCAACTTTGGGTGGGAAGGGGCTAACAGCAAAGGCGAAGGTTGGGGAGGAGTTGCCTTCTCAGGTATTCTGTTAGTGGAATTAAACTTTCTTAGATGTGTATTGATAAAGCCACAGAGAAATGTTCATAATCATTTCATAACACTGATCATCTAAAACATCTGGGTGAGCTAATCAATTTTTTAATGAGCAACCAAAATGTTTTAGAACATGAAAAATAAAATTATAAAACTGTGCTGAACAGAAAAATATGGTTGACCCCCTCCCCCGGCAATGGGCAAAGAGACATCTTTTTGATGGTGTTGTTCTTACATCAGTCAGGGATAGAGTAAATGGCAGCCCTTTGTGCATCCTAGCTTGATGCCTATCTTGGTGGCCGAAGCTGTCTTATGCCTAGAACTCACAAAAATCTAATCAAATCAAATCCCGGCAGTGCAGTCTGGGACGAGGAAGACAAAGAGAGACTTGTGGACTGCCATGCCATCCACAGGCCTGCCCTCCAGTGCCTTGCGCAGACAGCCCATAGACACCCAGGGGCCGGTCAGCTGCGTGTCCAGTTTGCAGTGGGAGTCACTCCAATGTGTGAGGATGTGGTCGTCGGATGGGAGAGAAGGAGAAATGGAACAGCCTGAGCATTCTGAAGAGAGATGGAACTGGAGACCTGAGAGTGAAGAGGAGGAGCCTGTTGTGAGTGGCCAGCTCCACCACCTGGGGTCATGGTGAGGTCCCAGCCCAAGCCACTTCTGAGGGCGGTGCCTGGGTCTGTGGCTTCACAACAGCCGGGCTCAGTGTTGATAGCCACGGCTTATGTTACCACTAGAAAACATGGACGACCATGTGGATGTCCAGGTGCAGTACATAACTGGCCCCACCCCTCACTGGATGCAGCGCTCTGGAGATCTGGCCTCATCTCTCATCAGTGACAGCACTCAGGAGAGCAGGCTCTGTGCCTTGTCTAGTGGAGCTGGGCTTGGTGGCAGGGATGTGGGTGAGCCACCTTAGTGCATGAGGATGTGAGAGCTAACCCTGCCCACCCATTGGTCATGAGGTGGTATGGGTGCAGAGATGATGACCCCGCCCTCTCCTCATCACCTCTGGCAGGAGGAATGCTCCCCACAGGGTCGTGAGCAACTAGGGAGAGAGCAGGCCTTGCACCTTACCTAAGCAACACAGTGGAATTGGCCCTGATGGTGAGGGCACGGAGTCGCCAGCTCACAGGGAGTGAGAAAATGGAAGAGCTGGCTCAGCTCCTCATAGGTTGCAGCATCTGGGAGAGTGAGCCTTCCACTTCCAATGGGCCACCCGGTGGCTGGTGGGTGCCGGTGAGCTGGCCCCAGGGAATGGGAACAGGAGAACTGACCCCTCCTCCTACCAATGGTGGAATTGGGTGGCCTAGCTGGAGCAATGCTGGAGCTAGTGAGGTAAGAGAGCGAGCTGTTAAGCTGACCAGGCCCAGATCCAGGGATCTGACCTGACCCACTCCAAAATCTATACCATCTGTGTCAGATATGAGAAATGGTCGGTCCTGTTGTGCTAAATCTGCAGGATCTCTGTGGCATAGGGCAACAACAGGGTAACTGTGAGGAGATCTGGTGATGATCCGAAATTGATGGTGTCACAGAAGCCAGATATCTCAAACCAGAACAATGACTCCTTGCAATGAGCATTTGCACGTGAAGATGTGTGGACAGATGGATATACTGTGGGACACACTGTGACACACTACAGCTTCCATGATGACATGTTTTCTATGCTTAGTTTTTATTGTTGTTGTTTTTGTATGTTTTATTTTGGAGGGGGAGGTTTGCAAGGAAGAAGTTCGGATATGAGGAGCCAGGGAGATGAGCGGGATTGGGGTGCATGATGTGAAACTCACAAAGAATCAATAAAAAGTTAAAAAAGTGACTGAATTAGCAATTCTTGGCTTTGAGTAAAATTTATTTAAAACTATTCTAAGAATATATGCAGTAGAAGAGTGGGTTACAACATTTGTGAAGGGGAAGCCATATTAAGATAAACTTGGTTATAAATCAAGCATGAAATGTAGAGATAAAGAAATCCCAGGCCTCATCTTTTATTTTAAAGTTAAAGTTGTAAAGAAACAACCTTAGGTTGCTTGCCCGGGTCACACACTATTTGGGGATTTTTTTTTTTCATACTAGCTAAATTTCTAAAGGAAGTGGAAATTGTAATGTTCATTCTGTAGATGTTATTTTAAGATAACCCATAAGTTTAATCTTTGTTTTACTTATTATCATTGTTTCTGAAGAGTGTATTAATCAAAGTTCTCTAGAGTAGTGGTTCTCAACCTGTGGGTTATAAACCCTCTGTGGGGGGGTCACCTATCAGATATCCTGCATATCATGTATTTACATCACAATTCATAACAGTAGCAAAATTATATCTTTGTAGTAGCAACAAAATAATTTCATAGTTGGGGATCACCCCAACATGAGGAAGTATATTAAATAACCACAGCATTAGGAAGGTTGAAAAACACTGGTCTGGAGGAACAGAACAAATAAAATCAATGCATATTAAAAAGGAGTTTACTAGACTGGCTTACACAACGTGGTCTCGATAGTCCAACAGTGGCTGTCTTCTCAGTGGAGAGGCTGAGAACTTGTAGCTGTTCAGTTCATGAGGCTGGATGACTCAGTAGTCCCAAACCTAACCCTGAAGGTCTGAGATTTCCCGAGAGATGCTAGTCCTTAGTCCATGGTGGAAGGCAGAAGTGGGGTTCTGACACCAGGGAAGAATGGCAGCATCGTGACAGCAGCAACACCAGTGGCGGAAGTAGTGCAGATGAAGTCTCTAGCAAGATGCACAGTCAAGCAGTCACAAGACAAACCTTTCTCTTTGGAGCTTTTGTCAGGGCCACCACAGGCAGAGGTTGACCACACTCAGTGTGGGCCTTCTCACTTCGGATAGTGCAATCATAAAGGTGTGTCCAGAGGCTTGCCTGTTAGCTGAGTCCAGATCTAGTCAACCTGATCACAAAGATTCACCATCACAGACTGTGTGCAAATTACTGTGACATTCATCAATGAATTAAATTTAGCACTTATATGAATATTTAAATATATGTTAAAATTGCAATTACCATGAATCTTGACATTAAGAACTTATCCATTTAATGACATATTTCTACCAAAACAAACCTTGTTCCCCATCATATGTTTCTCTTTGCCTACTCAGATTTCATGATTCTGAAGAAGAAAAGGTAAATTGGTGTGACTCCATTTAAAGAACAGTTATTAACAGTAGTTTATGGGAAAATTGACAAAAAACTGGTGCTTTGCAGTCAATATGTGACATTGTTTTCACCAGAAATTGTGAAAGGCTGATTCTCAAAGGTGCCAGGAAAAAAAGCCACTTGAAGATAGAAAAATTTCCACTAAAATATAAGCAGATTATTTTTTTTGTATCTGTTCAGTTAAACACGAGACCAGAGATTATGATATCATTAAAAACAAGAAGGAATTCTTCCAAGATCCACAGATTCAAATCATAACTGCTATGTTGTATTGACTAGTGCTTGTGTTGACTCCAAAACCATGGTGCTTCATAAAAATGTTAGCGTTCAGTGTCTGTGTGTGGCCACATTTATGCAGAGATGATGAAGGGAGGCCTTTGGCTCTTGGCAGCTGCTACTTTGTATGAGATCATTATTTTTTCGTGCCCTCACTGGGACAAGGTAGCCTCTATATTTTTAAGGACCATCTTCATGCTGATGACATAGCATCTGGTTTTCATAGATGATGTCCAGGGTCCCAGAGCTGAATGCTGGTAATCATTTTTAGGTCTATTTCTTATCTGTTGTATTTTTCCAGAGACTGTCTCTTATATCTTTGTTTTTCTTTTCTTACCGTATTTTTAGTTATCTTTGCCTTTTCTTTTATACTCATTTTCTAAACTAAGATACACTCAGATCTTTAGGTACATATTTTGTAGGAGTTGAAGATTCTTGAAGCCATCTTGTCACACACACACACACACACACACACACACACACACACACACACACACGACTATACCTTAGCTGCAATAATATTAATTACACGTGATGCTTTGGGTTGTGTTATTCCACGGTTTATAACCTCTTTGTCCATATTTAGCAAATCATTACGTTACATAAGACATGATAGCAGTGGCCTAAACCTAAACTCTCACTGGTTAAACTTATTCCTCTATTGTTTGAAAAATTAAATTAGCCACAAACCCTGTAATCACACCATTTAAATGTCATTGAGGTGTTTTCTCACACTTTGGTTAATTTGCTGAAAATTCTGTTTAATTCATGTTTGACAAATTTAAAAAGTGTTTGTATTTACCAAAATGAATTTGTTTTAACTATTTGTTTTAACTATATTTATTATTATTTTATAATAATAAATTGGATAGAGTATTTTATCATTTGCTTGGTTTAGTCTGAGGTTGTCCAGCTGTCTAGGACCAACTGTTGACATGGCTATAAACAGAATTGTCAATGAAGGCAGCATGATTTTCTTATTGCTGTCATAATAAATTATTTTGAATGTGGTGGACTATTTTCCAGATGTTTGAAAGCAGAAATCCCTTTGTAAATTTTAATATCAGGAAGTTGGCATCTGGACATAAGTTTTTAGTTTCTGCATTTAATTGATTTTTAGTGAACTGATTTTAGAACATTTGATTTTTGGCATATTGACTTGATTCCCTATTAAATATATTATGTCATTTGAATTTTACAGGAATACTGATTAGCATAATACTTCTCAATAATTCTTTTTATGGGGGACAAATGGGTTTATTTCATATCTAGTTTTCTTGGCACAAATGAATTGAAATGCTATGTCATAAAGTATATGTACTGACATTTTGTCCTAAAATACTGTTGTAAAATTTGATCTCTTAGCTAAAGTGGCATTTGGCGGATTTTTCTATTATCAAATTATTTTTTTCAATTCATTGTGGTCTATAAGGGATTTCCTTCAAAATGTATAAAAGTTCTCTGTGTTAAACTTTTACCCAATGATTTTAGGATTCATTGATCACTCTTGCTCAAATAAATTATTATATGGCTGGTAACACAAAGAAAATTTCCTAATATTTGTAACCTTAATTTTTATTTTTTATGTGTATGGAATTTCTTCCATATATGTCTTTGTGCTACATGCATGCGGTATTGGCAGAAGAAGATATCAGACTCTCTGGATCTGCTGTTACAGATCATCATGAGGTGCTGGGAATCGAACCTGGGTCCTCCGGAGCATCAGGCACTGTTCTTGAATGCTAAGTCATCTCTACAGCCCAAGTTTTCAATGGTAACATTCCTTCTAGGTGTGTATATTAGATATTTTACACATTGCTGAGACAAAATGTCTGATAACAATAAGGATAGAAAGGCTTACTTTAATTTATAGT